GAGAAGAAGCTGCCATGAAAAGTTGGGCACGAGTGCCATTGAGCCGCCAACAATCGAGCATGGTCAATGTCGACCCAACACCTCCGGACTTGGATTCTGCGTCGAAAGACACGCCGCCTACGTCTCAGTTACAGCAAAACCTGCGCCCCAACCGGCAGATCAGTGCCTTTGAAGGACACGCCCGGAATGACGATGATGCATTCTGGCTCGGAAACGACGCTCGAGACGATGGAAATACAAATTCCGCAGACGGTGCTGGAGATATGCTCAGCCAGTATACCGACGCCATTTTGGCCCAAGATTACGCGCTCAGTACTCCCAATGACGATGCCATAGATTGGGAGCGATGGGATACTTGGTTCGGCCATCTCGATCCTCTGTGTCCGAGTGCTACTCCACAGAGAAGGAGGCGGGTCAGCATTGAGAGCTTAATGTCCAGGTGAGGTCAACACTCGAGGACCTGTTTTCGAGTGCTGATACTGGCGCACCTTTGGTTTGTGACATGGATCCGCCGTGGCATCGAGAACTCGGTAGCGATGCAGGACTTGAGGTTTCTGCATGGCACTGCTATAACCATCACAGACACAGCTACAAAATCCACCTACAAAGTCGTCTTTTTCCCTGGGTCAAATAATATGAAAGTAGGAGTCTCGGCTTTTTGTTCAGCCACTGTACACTGTTATCATTTTCGCAGTGTTCAGACCAGCTTGAACTATGTCGAAATCACCAGGCGTGATTCATCAGAGTCATACAAGTATGATAGACTGGTCCACCAATCCCGGTTATTACCCTACTGAGACTCCTAGGTATCACGGAGTTATTACTCCTATGTTCCAATACGAGCATGCCGCTTACTGCGCAGTACATCGTTCAGGGGATCGAACAACCACGATACTCGTACGCCATCGCGCTGGTGCCACGCTAAGGAAGCATTCGCGTCTCCTCTAGCCACCTACTCGTACTCGTACCTATGTACCTACAGACTCGTACAGAATATGCGTTGAAACTCCGTAAAGACTGACACTTCTTTCCCAGTTTCACACGTTTGGTCGGTCCACTAGAATCCTACCGGATGGAATGGGATGAGATGGGACATGTTGAAACCACCAGAGATTTCCACATCCGCGTTCAGGTCGCAATCTGTGAAGGAAATACGGATGGTGTCCATTTCAGAAGTTTCCCGGTCATTAAGACCAAGTAGTAATGGGAGACCTGAAAACGCTATCCAGCAACGATATCTAAGGATTTGTGACAATCCCGAGTTCGACACACCACCAGGCTGAGTTATTATGGTCGGCATTGGTTCACAATGACATTTCTCGTCCCTCTCTCTCCTAGCAACACAGCTTTCATGCCTGGATCCCTCACTCCTTCAGAGAGGAGCTCCGGCACGGCCAGGGCCCGCAAATACCTTTGTCAGCGACTCCCAGATCGGCTGGCCCCCATATGTCAGATCACCCAGGGGCGGACACGTCAGAGGATCCAGAGCCGAGCCCAGCGCATCCGTGAGCAGTTTCAAAGGCACCGCCAGGGTCGAGTACAGCGGGGACAGCGAGTCTGGCGAGACGGTGTCGACGATCTGCAGCGCGAAGCAGAGCAGGTTGTTCCCCTGCAGCAACGTCTCGGCGTTCAGCACGCCGCCGGTCAGGTCGCTGATGTCCAGCGGCGTGAAGGAGTTGACGGTGCCGGTGTTGCCGCCAATCGACGCGAGCTGGGGATACTTGACGAACGCGTCGACCAGGTCCAGGTTGAGCTGCACAACGTCGTAGTCGACGGGGGCTTGATACCAGTTGTTGGGGATGCGTTCCCATCCGCGCTTGTACACTAGCGAGCCGTCGTCGTTGTCAATCACGCCCCAGAAAGACTTCAATACCTGTTTGGCTGGCCCAACAGTCAACAGTGCCCCTCGAACAAGCCGCACTCTGATCACTTACTCATGATACCTCCCGGGTTTTCTGCCGAGTGATTCGAAAGCAAGCGAAGAGCAAGAGTCGGCCCAGCATTACGAACAATGGCGCCAGTCCAGGGTCCATACCAGCAGTATGGGTTAGTGGAGATGCACTCGTTGAGCATGTCGATCGAGTGCTGCATCACATTCTCCGTCGAGAGAACGTCTGTATCGTTGCTGGCACGGCTGTAGAGTTGAAGAAAGCGACCCATGTCCATGGTGGAAGCGTCACCGGTGACATAGAGATCGTTGCGCGTCATCGAAGCGTCTGTCTCGATCAAATTGTGCGACCGTCCGATTCCCTGTGGTTCACCGAGGAGACCCAGCAGGTTTCCGAGGAGATTCTGAGTCTGGGGGGATGCTGTATCGATCGAGAAACCTGGACTCAAGGAGAGTGGGTTGCCGGTCCACACGGTGCCTGTAAAAGACTTAGCTGAGACCTCTGCGTCTGGAATGACTGTTGAGGTCGTACCAAAGACGGCGAGGATGGTCGAGAGTCCGATGCCCATCCCGTATACTTGTCTCATCGTCAATACCTTTGCTGTGGCGATAACTCGGCGAGCGACTCACCCTCGTTTGTGGCGCCTATAATATCGGGAAACTAGTATCCACGGCATTAGACCTGCAACAAGCATATTCCTGGGGAATGACCTACTTTTGCAATTCCAGACCGATCGATATAGCCATGGTTAGCCAATGCATTGAGCCCAGGACAGGGTCCCCTCTGCGCGCTCGAGCTAGGCGCCTGCCACTCATGTTCGCCGTCGACTTGTTGGAGTGTCAGTCCATGTTCTCGCGAGACAGTCCAGCTAACTAGAATTGTCTTGTCTTACCTTGAATCGGGGTATCTAGGGGGTTGACCAGGAGTCTTTTCTCTCGTTGATGCTGTACTTGGCGCACAATTTCCTCAAACGTCAAGTCCTCCGAGACATCAATCCCCCTTGCTCTGGCGAGAAGTGCAACATTGGAAGCTGTGGGAAACGCCAGGCACGGCACACAGATTCCCAGTAGGGCCGTACAAGCTGATAGCGACAACTTCATCTCCACCAACCAAGAAGAAGAAAAGAAACGAGTGACAGCACCACCGAGATGGCTAGTAGATGTATCAAAAGAGTGACTGAGGTGAGTATGGTCAAATGCTGCTGGACTGAGCAGAGGGCGAAGGTGATGTTCAACCGATCAAAGACATTATTCCATGTTGACGAGTTTGTGGTCGAAGCCCGTTGGAAGATCGACATTTGCACAATTGACTCTGATTCCGATGTCTGATCGGGGATGTAGATCCATGCTGTCGCGTCATTTCGCGGAGCACGGACGATCGTCAATGGAAAAGAGGCCAGCGAGGTTAGAAGTGGGTTGGGAGACAAGCGTGACAAGCTTCCTCCAAGAGTTGAGACTCCGGATGTGCACAGACTAGCGAATTGGACCGGAGGAGGGAGGCTGACTCTTTGCAGATGTTGGAACACCGGATTTATTATCGAATGGTCCCCATTGTAGGATCGAGACGGTGGGAAAATGGGGGCCAAAGATGCATACTATCGTGCCACCATCGTCACTAGCCAGGAGCCAAAGTCGTCCCAGGTATTCGTGGACTGTGGCAAATGCATGGATCCGTCTCCACGTTCCTTAACGGCTCAGCTGGTGGGTCAGGTAGACACCGTTTGTCGGGGATGCAGCACTCTTGATGTTGGTCAATGGACGAATCTGAACTTGGGCCCCTGGGAAGTCATTGGGTACAGACTGTACTGGGTACTCGATACGAGGAGACAGGCGGAAGAAAGTCTACATGTAGTGGATGTATTCGGGACTCGGTATAAGCCTTGACTGAATATGTGTCTCTGTTGATATATAAATGTGACCCTCACAACGTCACTCTACGGACAAAAGTCCCTCAAAGCATGATGCTTCTAGCCTCTGGCCAGTGCCATGACTCGTCAGAAGGATCAAATACTTCTCTCCTGCTTGTGTACATATGAACACATGCTGTTCGTCCTCGTAATGATCCTGGATGTCCGAGAGAAGGAAGCTTAGCTTACCTACAACCACTACGCACTAAGCATTCAGAGCTCTTCCTGCAAGGCAGATCCTTACTGATGCTTGACTGGTTCCCAAGGTTCTGGGCATCCAGAATGTGGGAAGCGGGGAAAAGGAGGCGACCCACGAGGCTGGGGGAATTTATCCGCTCTGCCTCGCGGATGCAGGCATATCCTAGTACGACGAGTGGTGTCGTCGAGTTTTGAACGGGATTAACCAGGGGCTGAAAGTGGAGTCGGGAATGGGTTTTGGTCTACCAAGGAAGATCCTCGAAAGCTGGGTTCTTGTTAGTAAAGGAATATACCAAGAGGTGACATTGGATCCCCGGGATTCATCTCGTCTTATGTGTTTGTTTGTGTAGATCACCAGCCCAGGATGCCTCGAGATTTGCGATAGAAGACACAGAATGTTATACCCACCCACCCGTGCCATCTCACTCGGGTCTCGTTTTGATTGCAGAGTCCAGTTCGTCTTCCCCGTCAGTGGACACGTCCAGTGTGCAGATCTCGAAAAGGTCTAACAACGGGGAAAACGAACCCACGAGGACCCAAGTGTTGCTCATGTATTCCATCCTGGTCACAGAAGCGTCCTCCCCTGCTCTATTCTGACTGTTGATCTTCCCCAGATACTCTCACTACTTTGGTATCTGTGCTTTTGTTCTATACTCGAATTTTCCAAGTTAGTGGACCGCATATTTCACTGTTACTTCAGTTCTCCACCGCTTCAACAACGACCATTTCTTCAATGTCCTACTCTTGTGTCTCCCTGGTGGGCTCTCCATAGCTCGAGGAACCACGTTGCTAGTACTCCTGGATCTGCTCGAAACTGGACTCAGAGTGCACAAGAGCGGAAGACTTCGAGGGGAGTCAACCAGTTCCCCCTTAGGTTAAACAACCACTCGACCTCTTAACAGACAAGTCATATCATGCCCGCACTGTTATTATTCTCTCATCACTCTTCTCACGCCTGAAAGGAGACACTGTTTACGCTCGAAACATCACTTTATGACCATCACGTTATGACGATGAGATCGTTCACGGCCATATTCTCCCTAGTTACCGCCACCTTGCTGGCTGTGGTCAGAGCCGACCTGGAATCCGCAGCGGCCCTTTATCCCAAATGTGGTGTAGGTACACCGCCTCCCTAGTTCCGTCGTCGCTGACACGTCCAGCTTGACTGCACTCTGGCGGGAATTGCTCAGTCAAACTGCTCGGCCACCGACCAAGCATGTATCTGCACGAACCAACAACTGGCAGAGGCCATCACAATCTGCGTGGCCATGAACTGTACGATTAAAGAACAACTAAGTACGGAAATCCTAAAGGTCGAAGGCCCGCAGCACGCTGACGATGAAAAGCCACGAAGAATGTCTCCTTGACGGCTTGCGGCGCTCCAGTCCGTGACCGAAGCAGTCTCATCTCTGGATTTGGAGCAGGAGGCGGCGCCGTGGCCCTGGTTATCTACGCGGTTCGAATATTTGCCAAAATTATCGTTCCAGCGGCAAGGATTGGCTACGACGACATCACAATTAGCATTGCAATGGTAGGAATTGAATCGACTTGTCTACCCTGAGGACTCAATTGCTGACTCTGTTGACAGCTTCTCCTTGTTCCTTTCTCGGCGCTGTCAGTAGTTCGTATGTAACAGCGACTAGTGCCCCTGGAGATCTAGGCTGACGATTTGCAGTTGCCAGTCACGGCTATGGCAAAGACATCTGGACGGTGCCATTTGACGACATCACGCTCATTCTAAAAGTATGTCGACGACCTCAAAGAGTGGGACGAAAGCACTGATAAATGGGCCCAGGTGTACTTTGTTGACGAAATCCTCTACCTCATCATAATATCCCTGACCAAGGTGGCCATCATTTGCTTCTACCTTCGAGTCTTTCCCGAAAAACAGTTTCGACGCGTGGCTTTTGGAACCATGGCCCTGACGATCGCATACATGGTGATCTTTGTCATTGTGTCGGCCTGTCAGTGTGAGCCGGTGTCTCTGGCGTGGACGTCCTGGGATGGCGAGCACGAGGGCCGATGCAACAACGAGAACGCACAGGCGTGGGCCGCCGCAGCTGTCAACATTGTGCTGGACGTCATCATTCTCATCATGCCACTGCGGCTTGTGATGAAGCTCAACCTGCACTGGAAGAAGAAGTTACAGATTATGATCATGTTGAGCGTGGGAGCATGGTATGTTCTCTAAATCTATGATAAAGCAATCTCTAACCCAGCCTCTTTCCAGTGTCATCGTCGTCAGCGCCCTCCGACTCGACACGCTCTTCATGTTCGCCAGATCCCAGAACCTGACGTGGGACACCACGGCCTTCGGCTACTGGTCCTGCATCGAGATGGACGTGGGCGTCATCTGCGCCTGCATGCCTGCCATGTACTCGTTGTTCAAGTACTACTTTCCCCAGATCCTCAGTGGCACAGCCCAGGGCAAGAGCAAGGCGAGCGGTGTTGTTGTCTCGGGTAGTCGAAGCGGAGCTCGCACTCCGGGGTTACAGTTTGACAGGAGGAGGGACGACAAGGATGGGGGCAACGACTTTGTCCGTCTGGTTGACCTGGAGAGCGTCAAGGAGGAGAGAGTCGGCACTGCGCCGGGGACGGCATGCTAGACTTGTTCCTCAGGCTGGGTCATGGGTTTGTCTACGGGTGTTGTGTAGGCAAGCATACGGGGGCTCGCTCGTTTGGAGACACAAGAATACTTGAGTAGATAAGGTGCGTCCCTCACGACGCTTGTGTAGAAAATGTGATGATTAGTATGACTTGACTTTGCCATGCTGGCATCGAACAGCCAGGGTGCAAATTCAACAGCAAGACCTGCGCGAGGGTATCGACTTGTCAGGCACAAAGGAACTCCTCGTTAACAAGACCTCCAGATCGGTACTTCCAGCCACGCTTCCGACCCTGACCGCCATGTTCTCTGCCTTCTTCTGTCGAAGGACGAGAGCTGTGCAGCCACCTCCTCAGAAACTGTGTTGCACGCAAGTTACGAGGGGTAAATGATCCCGCGCAGCCTCACTTGCCCTGGCACCCTGCCAGCCAAACCCCTTGCTCGTAACTTGTTATGAGGTGAATCCTGTAACAGCCCGCCACTCACCGCTAGCAGGCTAGTCTCTGGAAAAGCCCCGGACTATCTACCCACAGCGGGATCGTCCAACGGCCGGCACCTAAACGGAACTAGGTACCAGCAAGTAGGCAAAGTGGACCCAGACTCCAGTGCTCTACCTCTAGAGAGAGAGAGAGAGGGAGGAGAAATAAAGAAAGGGGCCCGCGCATTCAGCCCGCCCGCTTCGGTGGCTCTCAGCCTTGCTTGCTACTCTACTCCATTCGACCTTGTTTGGGGCACATTGCGTCTCAATTTGGCCGGCGAGTTTCCTGTCCCATGTACCTGCATAGCCTCCGAATGTATGGGTAATTAGTAGCGCTCCAGTGTGTCCTGGGACTTCTCGCTAGGTACTTACATACCTTGGGAGGGACTGGCCCTTATAGACCTACGACATACACTGCGGAGTACTCGCTCTACCTACTCGGCACCGTCTGGACTCCTTTGATGGTATTGGGGTGGTTTGATGAGCATTGAGCCCCAAATGCCAGGAACAGTCTAAAGCGCTTTCGTTTATGCAGCTCCCGTGGGTACGAGTACTTACCGAGGATAGGCTGGTACGCGGGTAGTGGGTTGGGGGTAGGCACGTATGGGTATTGCGAAGTGGCTCGCCGAAATCCATACCTGCCCGCCCGGCTATTGCCACCGTCGATGGAGCGAGCCATGGCTTCAAACAAGCCTTTCAACCTAGCTTTGGCACACTTATCTTACCTAGGTAGGTACTGTAGGCAGGTGCAGAGCTTTTTGGTCGCCTAGCCTGTGTGGTGGTGTCTGTGGTCCCTGTCGCCTGGCACCGGGCAGTTCGTTCGACCAACTCTCCGAGCGAGAAGATCCCAGGAGGAGCCAATTGACGATCCCAATTTCCCAATCTTCCCACTCTCCCACCGTCTTCTCAGGATGATGGGATGTGATACGAGGTACACGTACGACGAACAATGAGAGGGGAAGGGGAGAGGCCATGGTGGACTTGTGCCCATGCATGAATGCCGACACCTTACATATATGCTACTATAAGATAAACAGAGGACATCATCATGCCGCCGGGATCACTTCAGGTGATGATGTATGGGAGTTGAGCCATCAAAGCCTTCCGTTTGATTTGTTTGGAGTCTTTACTTTTTTTCTCATCCGATACGCGGTTTAATGCTCTGGGGCCATGAGGGCGACGTTGGCTTTAATAACCCTGTTGGGGGGCACGACGGTGTCGGCTCTGTGAGTATTACCATCATAGCATTTTCCTATACCAAGACGTGGGAGGGTGGCCTGACTGGCTAACAACTCCTCCAGAACATCAGCACACAGACATTCGCATAATAAATTCCACAGGCGCGACGACAACAATATAACACAGACGATTCGAGCGGACAATTCCACCACAGACCCCACCGCATATGATTATGTCGTGGTCGGCAGCGGCCCTGGAGGCGGTCCACTGGCTTCACGGCTGGCGATTGCAGGGTACAGAGTCCTCCTGATCGAGGCGGGAGACGACCAAGGCGAGGCAACGTGGCAGCAGGTGCCGGCTCTACAGCTCCAGGCCACAGAGTTCACGCCGATGCGGTGGGATTACTTTGTCAACCACTACCAGGACCTTGCGCGGCAGGAACAGGATTCCAAAATGGTCTGGAAGACTCTCTCCGGAGACGAGTACGTCGGGAACAGTCCGCCATCTGGCTCGACTCCCCTGGGAATCTGGTACCCACGCACGGGAACCCTGGGAGGTTGCTCGGCGCATAACGCAATGATCACCATCTATCCACACGAGAGCGACTGGAATAATATCGCGTCAATCACGGGTGATAGTTCCTGGAGTGCCGGGAACATGCGCAAATACTTTGAGCGCTTGGAACGGTGCAGATATCTCCCCAACAGTGTCGTCGGCCACGGCTTTGATGGTTGGTACGAGACCAGTCTCACGGAATTGTCGCTGGCAGTCGAGGACCAGAAACTGTTGTCGCTCATAATCGCGGCGGGAACGGCAATGGGTAAGGGTCTGCTCGGGATGGTGCTCAACACGGTGGCTGGGTTGGGAGAAGTCTTGCTCAGAGACATCAATGCCGGTGTTCCCGGCCGGGACTCTCAGGAGGGCCTGTACCAGGTCCCAATTGCAGTTACCGAGGTGGACAAGAAACGGAATGGTCCGCGCGACTTTATCCTCGACACCGCAAACGCCGTCAACGCAGACGGATCGCGCAAGTACCATCTCGACGTCAAGCTCAACACCTTGGTGACAAAAGTCCGGTTTGACACTTCTGGATCCAAGCCGAAGGCCGTTGGCGTCGACTATCTAGAAGGACAAAGTCTGTATCGCGCCGACCCTCGCGCTGGCTCAGCAGCGGGTGGCACCCCGGGTAGCGTCAATGCGAGTCGGGAGGTGATCATCTCTGGTGGTGCATTCAACTCGCCGCAATTGCTCAAATTATCTGGTATTGGACCTGCTGCTGAGCTATCCAAATTCGGCATCCCCGTGGTTGTCGACCTACCAGGTGTGGGAACCAACTTGCAGGACCGCTACGAGGCAACGCTTGTGGGAGACAGCAACACCGACTTTGCCATCACCAAGGACTGTACCTTTCTCCGCACTGGGCCTGACCCATGCTTGGAGCAATGGCAAACTCAACCAGGTCCCTTTCTCAAAGGCACATACGCGACCAACGGTATTGCCATTGCTGTGATCAAAAAGTCGTCTGTGGCGGACGGGGATCCCGATCTCTTGATTTCTGGTGCTCCCGCATTCTTCACAGGCTACCATCCCGGATATTCGAATGAGTCATTGAAAGACGCCCACCACTGGGCCTGGATCGTTCTCAAGGCGCATTCGCGAAACAGCGCCGGGACTATCACCCTGCGTTCCACCGATCCGCGCGACACGCCCGTCATCAATTTCAATTACTTCGACACAGGGATCACTACCAACGACGCCGACGAAAAGGACTTGCAAGCCACATACGAGGGCATGGAGTTGTCGCGCAAGATGTTCCAAGACTATATACCCTTGCAGGGCACGTTTAAGGAGGTTTGGCCGGGGAATAATGCCACAACCGAGGCTCAGATGAAAGACTGGATAAAGAAAGAAGCCTGGGGACATCATGCGAGCTGCACATGTCCTATCGGCGCCGATGACGACAAGATGGCGGTCCTAGATTCCCAGTTTCGTGTTCGAGGTGTTGACGGGTTGAGAGTGGTCGATGCGAGCGTCTTTCCCAAAATCCCGGGATTCTATATCGTGCTGCCCACGTATATGATTAGTGAGAAGGCAGCGGATGTGATTCTGAAGGATGCTGCCAGTACGTGAGATCAAGTGGACGCTTGGACTGCTTTGCTCTGCATCATGGAATATATTGTCAAAATAAGTGTACTTCTTACTCTTGTTCTATTGTAGAAACAGTGTTGCATTGCACGGAACTTCGTAGGGCTTAATGAACTAAAATTGTGGCATCTTTGACGGTGGGGGAGGAAACAGCGAAGAGAATCATGAGGCACTACAGTCCTCACAAAATTTGTAGTTGGTAATACCATTGCAACATCAAGGAAGAAATTGAACGATGAAGAGTCGAAGAGGTTCATTGATTAAAAGCGGCATGAAGTCTGTGCAACAGGTCAGGGCCAAGATGGTAAAGCGGCAACTGCGCAGCTTCCAATTCCGACCTCATGCCCGGTAGATCTATTCGCCTGCCTGTTCATCGACGTCGTCTTTACTGCAACATCGCAAGCTGCCTTTACTTTCAGAGCTCTCTCGTTCGACTGCAGCTTCATACTTCCTTCCCGCTCATTCAACTTGTCGAGGCTCAGCATATCGGACCATGGAAGGTGAGCGTCCTCTACTCTCCAGCATTTCACAGCTAATTTGCGACTCAGGCCTTTTGTTCAACGTCAACGGTGGCTATTTGGAGGGCATAGTTCGTGGCTACCGCAATGCGCTACTTACGAGCACGAACTATGGCAATGTATGTGGTCGCTGCACGGCTTTAGGACACTTCACTAACAAAGTGCAGCTCACGCAATGCGAAACGATTGAAGACGTCAAGACCCAGCTCGGTCCTGCGTACGGCGAGGCGCTCTCAAACCTTCCTCCCAACCCCTCCACGTCGGCCCTGGCAAGCAAGACCACGGAGAAGCTAGTCGCCGACTTCAGATATCTCCAAGGACAGGCGACGGGATCGTTGGCAAAATTCATGGAATACCTCACATACTCGTACATGATTGACAATGTGGCACTCCTCATTACCGGGACTTTGCACGAAAGAGATACTAAAGAACTCCTGGAGAGATGTCATCCGTTGGGTTGGTTCGAGACAATGCCAGTTCTTTGCGTAGCCACCAATATCGAGGAACTGTACAACTCGGTCCTGATCGAAACTCCCCTGGCACCATATTTCAAAGGAAGTTTGAGCCATCAAGATCTGGATGAGCTCAACATCGAGATTGTGCGGAACACCCTGTACAAAAACTATCTGGAGGACTTCTACCGTTTCGTAAACACGGACCCCGAGATGGCCATGACTCCCACGGGAGAAATCATGTCAGAAATCCTCGAATTCGAAGCCGATCGACGAGCTATCAACATCACCATCAACTCTTTCGGAACCGAGCTGAACAAGGACCAGAGGAAGAAGCTCTACCCCGAATTCGGAAAATTGTACCCAGAAGGGATGCTTATGCTCTCGAGAGCGGACGACCTGGAAGGCGTCGGGCTTGCAGTCAGCGGTGTGGGTGACTACAAGCGATTTTTTGATGAAGTCGGATTCAACCAAAGCAGCGGCGTGGGCGCCGGGAACATGGCCGGAGGTGCGGGCAGTGAATCCAAGTCCCTGGAGGACATGTTCTACCAGAAGGAGATGGAATTCTCCAAGATGGTTTTCACTCGACAGTTTACCCATGCGGTTATATATGCATGGGTCAAACTACGGGAACAGGTGAGTACCCCCTTGTTGCGAGAGACACAGCTTCTGACCCTCCGGCAGGAAATCCGAAACATCACCTGGATTGCCGAATGCATCGCCCAAAATCAAAAGGAGAGGATAGGAAACTACATCAGCGTGTTCTAACATGGGTTAGGGTCAGTGTCACGTGGGCAGCACGGCGTTCGGTAGAAGGGGGTCTTGCTTTGCGGCCTTCCAGCTTGATAGCTCCAGACCTAATGAACAACTTTTTCAGCAACAAGTCAACGGCGCTTCTTTCAGCTTCTTGCGAAGACTACTTGATCCAACAACTCTCGGAAGGAAGGTACGTCTGCATTTTGGGGTTTCACCTACCGCCCGTGCAGACAGCCCAGAGCGTGGTTGCCTGAAGAGAAATCATCAACAGCTCACATCAATTGAGGCGCAAATCCATCTCATGAAGTGATTTGTGCCTGGCCAAATTATCGAAACGACCATCTACATCGAACTTATTGTTGATTTTCCGCTCATTTTTGGTGTTATTGTTACTCTCGCGAACCAGCGACACAGCTTCACCTGAAACCAACAACCACTCGTTTGACTGACTTGATCTCACTACATCAGCAAAGCTATCAAAACCACAATGTTGGACTCTCATCTCTCTACAACACGGTTTCGCAAGGCTCAAAATCTTGAACCGGAACCGATCTCGTCGTCCACAGTGTTTCCCTACGAGATCGATCCGGGGCATTGTTTTTCCGAATCTGACCTCAGGCACTCTCCCCTCAAGCGAAGTGATTCCGGATTTTTCGAAGGAACCTGTCAGGTTGAAGAGAAATCGAACTTGTTGGCATGTGTCAAGGATGATAAGAGCCACAAACCTCGGGTCTCAACCCCAAAGTCTCACTCTGGCCAGTCTCCTATACCACAACGATTACGGGAAGTCATCCGACAAGACCTCTGGGACCCCAACACTGTCTGCACGGTGCACCATGGCTATCGTCATCCAGATGTTTCTAATGATAAACGAATCGCCGCCCTCTGCTCACATGCGGCGAACTCTAGTCAAAACGTGGAGGTTGTCAAATTCACAAGGGCGATTTCTGGGAGTGGAGACGAGGCTCCGATGTTCGAGACTCGCCCGTTATATGGCGCGGGTGCTCCTAACGTAGAAGCTCGCTTGCAAAAATGGGCCGCTGCACGAGCCATTGCACAGCGAAAACAATCACGCACGAACATTGCCACAATGAAGAAAAAGCAATGTCGAGCGTATGGAGGACTTCTGGCCAGCTTGCAAGGGCGCGTCAACCGACGGCCAGGACGTACTGGGATGATTCATTGTCAAGTGAACAAGCCTCTACGTTCAGAGAAGATGTTGCTTTCCAGCTACGAAGACGCTTTCAAGGGATGGGATGTTGCCATGTCGAAATCAATCCCAGGCTATGCTGACAACTACAAGAAGAGGCATTGGTACATATCTCAATGGGATAAACCAAGTCCTAAATGATGGCATAGGTGGTGCAGATAAAGGCTATAGCGTTCGGGCATTTGAGAGAATCAGACACCGGTCTTTGTTGTTCTCGCCCTGGCCAATTGGTCCAGGTCGTTCTCGTCAGTGGTGTAGGGGGCGCTGGTTTTGGCACATTGATTCAGTGTATTACCCGTCTATTGTATGCACAAAATTATCCAATCTAAAAAACCATTCTCCTTTTAACCATTCCTCGACTCTCACTCAAGATGCTAACAAGTCTATAGAGGACGCCGAGGAGACGCTAATCCTCCATGTCACTGGAAATTCTTCACCCCAAGGCCTCGTACGCAGCTCCGCCGCCACCATTCTTCGCATCCTTCTTCGCCACCTTGGCCATCCGCTTCATCTCCTTTTCCGCCCTCTTGTCGTCCTTCTTCCTCTCCTTTTTCGCCCTCTTCTCCCGCTTCCTCGCCTTGTCCTCCTCGGAGAAATCGCTCCGGGAACCCTGCAGGAATTTTCCCGGGTTGAAGACGTTCAAGACCAAGAGGGCGAAGAACATGGGCACGCCGTCGAAGACGTACGCGAACCACTCGTGCGTCACGGTCGGGGAGTCGATGCCCGTGCCGAACTCGACGAGGCGGTAGATGTTGCGGAGAATGATGAGCGCGAGGGTGATGTAGAGGAGGCGGAGGAGGGGCGTGGCGAGATCGAGGTCGGGTATCTCGACGTCTCCTGGTGTCGTTGTCGGGCTGGGGGAGTCGGTCCGCAGGGGCAACGGACGCAGAAGGACAGATTGGTATTGTGCTTCGGTGTCGGTGGTGTAGGAAGCAGGCCGTGACGAGACGAGCCGCTGCCTGTCTTGCTTGAGGTGCTTGACCTTGCGCTGGAACCTGATCGCTAGGGCGACGAAGATGACGAGGAAGAACAACTGCACGCCCACGCCGCTGGTGTAGATGTTCAGTCCCGTCTGCTGGACCGAGGCACTCACCCCCGGGCCCGTCATGGTGCCGCCGGTCGCCTGGATCAGGAAGGCCGTGATGTCAAAGGCGACGAACATGCGCGTGATGGCGCGGGCCCGGACGCGGAACACGCGGTCGTTGCCCTCGGGTAGGAAGAAGTGGATCATCCGCCCCAGCAGCATGTAGATGTACGCGTTGATCCAGAGCGGCGCGAGCAGGATCAGCAGCAGCTGCGCCGTGTAGATGCCGCTGGACAGCTGGTTCTCGATCGACAAGACGCGCGCGACGTAGCCGCCCGTTTCCCACAGGGCGCCCATGATGAGGACCATGGCGAAGGGCTTGCGGTAGACGACCGCCTGGACGATGTGCGCGCAGGTCGTGATGCCGAAGAGGACCGTGAACAGAATGGCGGCTGCGAAGGATGGGCAGTACGCCCAGTTGTCATCGGGTCCTGTGCCCGCGTGGCACACGATCTTGGGCATTTCGCCTCAGAGTTTCCCCCCTCCCTGTATGGAGTTCCCTCGAAGAGTTCTCTCGGAGAGAAGTAGTGCTGCTTGAGGGTGAAATTGAAGAATCACTGCGCGTGGGCGTGACGAGGTAGTATTTCTCTGCAAGGTAGGGTTGGGAATGTCCTCCAAAGTTGAAGGGAAGGATACAACGAACGGTTTCAATGGAATCGTCCATGATTGATATAGATATGCACCCTTCCTTGGGATGTTGGCCTGCGGAATATGGCTGCCTGGAAATTGATAAGTGGTACTCGTCTGCGGTCGGTATCAGACAACATCGTGTGGCTCAGTTCTATGCGGGGTTTCAGAAGCCAGTACGAGGTATGTTTCCACTGTCAAAGGCCAGGGCATGAATGAGTCTAGCTCTTACGAGCTCGTCCACCAGCCCCGTTGGCCAGCTGTTGGCGACATTTGATGACAAAGGTGATAGTGATGTGGGCGAAGTTCAATACGACTTGGTAAGAGGGCCGCGAGGGGCGGTCGCATGAATTGACTGAGGGGGGGGTTTGGGGGCCGCTTGATGCGCAAGGCTAGGATGTGCGAGCGGTCATTGGTCAGAAGCCTCCTCGTATTGTCTAACCTTTCCTGACTAGCGTTGGTGGCCTGGTTTGGAACACTAGCGTCCATGCGTCGTCTGCTCCCTCAGGCACTGGTCCACTCTCGACATCGTCCCTTGCTGTTTGCTCTGCCACTCTCGAGGAGTCTCTTTTCACTCAGACCTGGCACCTCGAGTCGCATGTGGCGCTAGCGAACTCTGACAGCCCGTCAACACAGTGCAAACTCGGCTGCCTGCGCGGATGCATTGGGGTCCAGGAAATGTCTGGCCGGGACCGTTGATTTCCAGGCAGTGACCAAAGGGGCTGGTGAGTTTCTCTCAGCTGTGTCTGTCTGTTCGCCTTGGACACGCTTGAGCCTCTGACACAGGCTGATAGAATATAATAACATATGCGACACTCGACTCCGACACATCTTCATCGAGCCATGAAGACAAAGGGCCCAAAGTCTTCGAAATCATGATCAGGATTGGAAAAACAAAAGTCCGAACTGGTTGCATCACATGCAAGTAAGTCCAGTTCTAGCCCTGTACCCTAGCTAGCCAGTTCCTGCAGCTATGACATCTCTCTAACGCGGCCGGCCAGACGTCGACGAGTAAAATGCGACGAGACGCGACCCAGCTGCAACCGCTGTGTCAAGGCTGGGAAATCATGTGAAGGATACGCCAACGATCCGAGCTCGGGCCAAGGGAGCGAACCCGTGAAATTCGTCGTGTACACCCCCCGCAACCCATCGCCTGTGTTGTCGGAGCAGCCAAACCTCGATTGGTCCGAGCGACGGGCCTTCAGCTACTACCAGGATCGGACCGCGTTGGAGCTTGCCGGTCCCTTCCAGCCGGACTTCTGGCTAGCGACCATCCTGCCACTCGCAAGGGAACATGGCTCCGTCCGACACGCCCTCATTGCCCTGAGCAGTATGCACGAGCACTATTCAGGGGTCGATCATTTCTCGCCCGCGCGAAGCGTCGACTTTGCACTGAACCACTACGGGAAGGCGATGCGGGAGCTTATGCGATTCAACCACGCCCAGGTGGGTCAGAATCTCGACCGTGCCCTGGTCCTCTGCGCTCTGTTCTCCGCTTTTGAGAGCCTTCAAGGTCAGTATCACGAGGCGTGCAACCACGCCGTGTCCGGAATCCGAATCCTGGCCGAGGAGCAACGAAATGCGAGTGCCAGTCCCAATCAGCCGCGGCTGCTCCCCAGTGATGACCTCGCGCGCTTCTTCGTCGCCATGGGCAGACAGATTCTGGAAATCGGCGGTCCAAACTTTCTGGGCCCCAAACCGAAGTTCTACCGTACGGGGACGACCACAGCACACATGCCGTACCAATTCACCTCGCACGAGCACGCCCTGCTGCATGTGGAATCCCTACTTGCAGAACTCTTCGAGTACGTCGAGAGGGCCGAGACCCTGGCGTACGAGGGCCCTGTACCCGACGACGTGGCCCAGGCCCTCCTGGCAGAGTTCCACGCGATCAAACCGCGATTTGAGGAGTGGCAGGCCGCGTTTGAGAGGCTCTCTGCCGTCGAATCAAACGAATACTCACGAGAAACACCCGAATCTTGCAGCTCGGCCGCCTCGTCGCCCCCGTCGGCGCAGCACTCCAGGACCCGGAGTGCCGCATTTCTCATTCTGCGAGCTTATCAAGCTCTGATGGTGGCGTTCCTGGCGCGAGTCGAGTCCAACGATGAGGCCGTGTTCAAGGACCACGGAGCACAGTTTTGGACCGCATTGGACGCGGTGGAAGAGTTCATCCAATGTACCTCTACCCTTGTCAGGCCGGTGGACGGGGGCGTGTCGCCTCGACCACCACCGCCACCGTCTGACTGGTCAACGTCAACATCAACATCAACATCAACGTCAATCTCAGCCACGAACGTAGCTCCGGCTTCACAATCACTCTCACAGCTCCAGCTACCACAACAGCCCCCGCCCGTGATTACGCGGCCGACATTCTCCCTCGCCCTCGGCGTCGTGCCGACCCTCTTCCTCATCGCCACCCGGTCCCGCGACCTCGCCCTGCGCGACAAGGCCCTCTCCCTCCTCCGCTCGTGCAACCGGCGCGAAGGCCTCTGGGACTCCCACCTTGCCGCGAGCGTCGTCGACCGTGTCATCGACCTGAGGACCAAGGCACGGTCCATGAGCCGCGCACAACTCCTCCTCGCCGACGCGGATCTCCTCGCGTACATACAGACGACAGAGATGCCGAGTGGCAGAGAGCCAAATGCTTCTCTTGGGGTCGGGGGAGAGGGCGCTGGCCTCGACGACGTCGTAGACTTCAAGTTATTGGACATCACCTTCCTCCCGCGCCGCCGATGTGCATTGCGATATGCATTCGCCGCGAGACAGGCCACGACCCAAGGAACGCCGACCTCGATGTTGCACGGTGACGTGTCCGGTCACTTTTCCACCGGCGGCGCAGGCGCGCGTTGTGTCAGGGAGTTTTGCGAGGAGTTGCGGTGGGAGCAATAGCCGCAATGTGTTGTGTTTGGGGGTTTACTATGGGGGTTTGCTCAGGAGAACAAACGGGGGAGAAGGGTTGGGAGTTGTTGTTTCGATCATGAATATGGGTTGTTAGTGGGCTCCAGTAGCAGCGGCCAACCTCGCATCGAGGGAGTGTTATTAGGGATTACGCTGAATGGCACTGTATCCACTATATCCGTGACGGGCAAATGAGATTCTTTGAATAAGCTTCTCATGCAGAGCATATCCATTCAAGAAAAGAACGCGGACTTTCCTATCTTCCAGCATGCGGCACCACCTTGGGTAGATTGAAGTTGTTGGAAGGGTAGCTGGCTTCATAAAGCCGCACAAAGTATTCGTCACGGTCCCCGTCGAGGCCTTCTGTGCTACCAAAGAATCCATAGTCCTGACCCATAAGACGCCATCCGCCTGGTGAAGACCTCTCCAGCACTTGGTTCAAGGAGCTTCGTTTCTTATTTTGCATGTTGTCGCTGTTTGTAGTTTTTTTCTTGGTTGCTCGGACTTTGTGCTCGCGTGGGCGAAACTCGATCTTTGAATGTCGAAACAGAAACACGAGATGGCATTCCAAATGAAAGATCAACGACAATCCTACTTGCCATGATGGTTGCTCGTAAGGAGGAGTACGAGTATCACTAGAGTTTGAGTAGGCTCTAGCAACCAGCTTCGCACATGATTCTTGGACATCACTAATCATATTGGAACAGCACACTGATGCTCTCGCCATAATGCACCCTTCGAATCGCCTATCGAGAAAGATCATGTTAGCATTTATCACCTCCCATGTAGCCCAAACATCACAACTAGTGTTGAACTCACCTCAGCGAAGACGTGGCCGACCTCGAGTACCTCCAACTTGGGACATCTTCTGACATGGTGCGACTGGTCCACGGTATTGGTGACAATAACTTTATCCAACGCGCTGGCGTTAATTCTTTCAATTGCATCTCCACTCAACACACCGTGTGTCACCAAGGCATAGACTTTGCTGGCACCTTCTTTCTTCAGAAGTTTCGCGGCTCGGGTAATCGTGTTGCTCGTGTCGGCCAGATCGTCGATGAGAATGGCAACTTTGCCAGTAACATCGCCGACGAGCATCATGGTTGCATTCTGCCGATCGGTGATCTTGGTGGGTCTACGTTCTTTGTGAATCAGTGCGAACTCGATTCCTAACGAGTCGGCGATGGCAGTTGCTCTTTTAGCACCTCCAGCGTCGGGACTAACGACCACTCCATTTCTGTAATCTGGAATGTTTTGCTGGATATACTTCTTCAAGATCGGCCGGCCGTAAAGATTGTCAACAGGAATGTCGAAGAACCCTTGATACTGTGGATCGTGAAGGTCCATGGTGATGATGTGATCTGCGCCAGCGCAGGTCAAAAGATCCGCCACAAGAGTACCTGCTTGAGCAACCCACTGTCGATAGCCCGGTCGAGGTTTGAAATTGTCTTGCGGATCTATTTTTGGCGGTGGAGCAAAGTCATAATTTGCAATGCCGTTGGTGGCTGATGCTGCCGAATCTCCTCGTTTCCGCTGGCTTGGAAAATAGTCCGACTTTGTTGACGAGTGTGAACTTACATCCCGGTCCCGGTAGTGGCTGAAGCGGGCCTGGTATGTAGGGCTGTTCTCTACCTCGTCGAGCTGTGACTTTGAAATAGCTTTGTGCAAGGGATGTCCGTTGGCAAGGCCTTGGCTTTCAGTCTTATCTGGATGTGGAGTTGGAGGAGTACTGTCGAAGGTGTAGCCATTCGCGTCAGGAACCAGCTTATTGGACGCATTCGATGCCTTAACCAGAGGCGCACCGCTCTTGTTGTAGGGTATATCGGACTGGCGAGAATACGGGAAGAGTGGTAGGACAGCGGTGACCTTTTTCGCGGACGCAGTCTTGCATGCCGAAATGGCAATCAGAAGCTCGACGAAGTGGTCATTCACCTTACCACCACCGGATTGTATGATATAAACATCTTTTCCCCGGACCGACTCGCCGATCTCAACCCTGGTCTCTCCAACTGCGAACTTGGAGAAGAGAGCTTGACCAGGTGCAATACCGAGAATCTCGCAGATAGTTTCTGTCAAGGTTGGATGGGACGACCCTCCGAACACGACAATGTTTCTGACCATGGTGTCGCAAACAAAAGGTCCAGCGAAGTGGCTTACAGTGGTAGGCAAGGCAAGGTCGTAGATCTGACGGGACAGGGCAAGGCAGAGTCAAGGGATCAGACCACAGGCGAGGGGTGGGATACGTGAAGTCGACGTTAGAACAGGCAGCCTAATGTGGGCCGTGAGGCCAAGGAAGTCGGGAAAGTCAACCTGGTGGTTGACATGATATAAAAGAGGAGAGAAAGAGTCAGTTCGCAGATTGGAAAAGTTCAACTCCAAGGTAAAGCGCAGTTGGTGGTTTGCTCTCCCCACGAAACTTTTTGTCTCGCCCCACCTTCCGCGTCAGATCCGCTAGATTTCCCGAGGTTCCAAAATGTCGTCATTTCATTTATTGTCCATCGAGCCATGTGCACCATCTCGTTGGGTGCGTTGGATGTGGCTGCAGCTGATCCTGGTCTACAGAAGTGGGGGCAGGTCGCTCGCTGAATTCCAAAAGAATATCTATCTTCAGGCTTGTAGATACTCGCCATCCTCACCCAGGGTATCCATACTTTTCGCAAGGTAGTCAGTGCCACTCAAACGCTGTGTCCCTCGCCTGAACGGCCACGTACACATGCCATCAATCCCCTGTATCAACCTCAAGATCCAGCTGGACATTGTTGCTGACACCGTAGTCCTGAAGTGTCAGCTGGTCTTTGAATGGTCTTTCGCCCTGTCGCTTGAGCAGTATCTCATGAGGTTGTCTGCCAATCATCGAAGCAACGATAACTTTGAAGTCCTCTGTTCTTTCATTAGCACGGAAAAGAAGCCCACGGTAGCTGCGATAAACTCACTTATTGGATCCGTGGGATAGCATGGAATAGCTTTCTTCGTCCCCAGTCGGTCGTTGACGTAAACAATAATCATAGGCTGCGCTGGTATTGCAGGCGCTGGTTTCTTCTCTTTCTTGTCTGGCTTCTCCTTCCTCTTTTCTTCGCGGAGTTCTGGTTCCTCTCGATCTCGCTGTCTGTTGCGATCTCTGTCGTCTCTTCGGGGGGAACGCCTCCGAGGAGGGGGGGTCCTAGATCTCGAGCGAGGTCGATAATGATCTCTATAGCCTCGCTGCAATCCTGCTTCTCGGTCACGTCTCGAGTCGTCATCGTCTCGACGTTTTTCCTTCCATTTGAACCCTGCGTCCTTGCGCCGCGGTCGATCCTCGCGCCTGTCCCTATCCCGTCGAGGAGACCTGCTCCTTCTGCGGTCTCCGCCCCTGGACGATTCTCGCTCTTTCCTGTCAGTATTCGTGGGTGGAGGTGAGGATGGTGAAGTCTCACGCTGATTGTCGGCCATTTCGAAGCCAAAGCGGCGTCCGAGAGACTTTAGAAGCGTGAGTGCAAGGACGTGACACGTAAAGAAATTCACAGCAAACCGCCATCAGGGACCGGAAAAATATGGTGGACCGGAAAAACTTCGGATAAACAGTACCTCAGTTCGTGCTTGGAGCTCGTCAAAGTATCAATGAATGTCATCCAAATTCAAATGATTCTTACCTAGCGTTTTTAAACTGCACGAATACTACCTGCCCGAGACACGTCCCGCCTCCAGGTCTCATGAATACTTTGACGTATGAATGATGTTACAGAATCAGCTTCTTGACAACATAAATTCCCAACAAACGTCGCAACAGGGCTCTACCTGCTGGGAAAAGCCGTTGTACAGTGTTGCGCTGTGTTCCGAATCGCTCCATCGGAGCCGCTTCACAAGACGTTGGGTTCCTTGACAGGCGCAAGGTACAAGGCAATGTCCTGAGAGTGGAATGGACTAGAGCGAAGCTGATCAATGCTCAAAGGTATGGGTATATCATGAACGAAGTTGACTACCTAGTACAAAGGAAACCTATGAAATGAGTGTATATGGCTCTGTCATGTGCCCTCGTAGTGCTCAGCTTCCTCTCCTTCCACCCGGACAGATTCGTAACACGATGGCGAAGTTGGGCAAAGGTTGTCGACCGTTGAAGTGTCGATGTGTGGTCTGGTACAAGTGTCGCCTCATAGCCTTGTGCGCCTAAGTGTATATCTCTTCGTCTCGGCCAGCCCCGGATTGGTTAGCGCTTGGGAGATCGTCGCAGTGAACGAAACCCATATCGCCTCGACTTCTCAGGGGTTCGTGGAGATGAAGGTGGTGGTTGAGTAGCACGCGGCGTGCCACTTTCAGTCGCCTCTGCGACACTCTCCTCTGAAGTGATATGCTCAGGCTCAAAAGCCTCCTCATTTGCTTCCTCTGCTTCGACAATCTTCTCTGCCTCCTCTTGCATTTCAGCCATCTCAGTTTCAACTTCAGCCATCTTCTTCTCTACCTCGACTTTCTTTTTCACCACCTTCGGCATCTTATCGTCTACCCTGTCCATCGTCTCCTTCACATCGCTCATCGTATGCTTCATCTCGTTGATATCTTCTTCCACCTTGCAGATCACCCTCCTTAGCTTGGCCAAGTCTTTCTTTACCATGACTGTGTGATTCCTGGCGTCTTTGGCTTTTTGCTCTTGTATCATCTTCCTCGCCCTGAGCATCTTCTTGGCGGCATTGTTGACTTTCTTCATTATTTCTTTCATCCCATTCTCTGCCTCACGCATCACATTCTTTCTGAAGGCAATTTGGTAGAAATCACGAAGCATTGTCGAAGGGATATTCAACGACACATTCTCAAAGGCTTCCAGCTCACGCTCCTCCTCTTCACATATAAAATCCTTGAGGCAGAGACGCAACGAGCAGTCTTTGACGGCTTGTCCGTCTTCGTCGAGAAACATCTGGGTTGTCGTTAGAAATCTCCGTCATGACACGAGCACTTCAGAATGCCGAAACACCACTCCTTACCTGATTGTCAACCACTGTAGCCCGGGTCCACTTGTCGCCGTCAAGTTGGGCTTTCCATACCGAAAATGTCGCCAAGCGGCCGCCACGGTAGATGTCATTCAAATCCAAAGCGACAACAGTTCGAATCGCGCCCTCCATCCCCTTGATAAACCGCGTTGCCCTTTCTGGTAACTTCAACTTGCGCTGAGACCATGCCACCTCTACCACCAGGTCAGCATTCCAGCAGCCCTCCAGAGTGTATGAAAGATCAGGTTCCAGCCGTTCGCCGAGAGGCCCGTTGCACTCCACCGTCGTAGCCAGAGTAGAACCTATCTTCTTCGCAATATCCATAGTCGCCTCTTTCGTGCTCTGAACCGTACAAAGTGTCCCTGACTGAATGTTACCAAGCCATCGCACAATCTCGTCATGGATCGCCCCAAGCATGCCTTCGTGAAAGACAGATGGCACGTGGATCACGAACTGCTTGCTGCCTTTACAAGGGCGGCGTGTATAGTCGAAACTGGTATCTCATTAGCGGTTCAAAGCCAGAATTTCTCAAGGAAGCTTACCGAAACCTTTCTGCCTTGTTTCCATCCACATACTCTAGAAGCTTTTCATTTCCCTTCTTCCTCAGTTCTTCCCATAACTTCTGATAGCCGCGATAGCGAAGTGTTCGCTCAATCAAGTACTTTCCACCAGGCCCACCCTTTTTGACCTCATACGCTCCGTCCATGACTTCTTCTATCGTTTTCAGCACTCGCTTGACATTGGCGGCATCTCGTCGTCGTTCCCTGGCACTAGGAGGCCGAGCTTTTCCTAGCCGCGACGGCATTGTCGGCGCCTCTTCCAGAGGGACTATAGTTTGCGTCTCTATCAAAGGTCTGAGGGGATAAGGAGAGGGATATTAGAGGAACGTGACGCTCCCTCCCTCCCCCTTGGAAGTGAAGACGCTGTGGGTAGATGCTGGAGGTAATAGCAGTCGCCCGGGGAAGCGGATGCCGATCTAACAGCTTTGACGGGAGTGTATTTGAGTGAAAGGAAGTGTTGGGATCGGACGCTTTCGCCTCGGGCCAAATGGATAGCGGCGAAGCAGGTGCTTCAAGGCGAAGCCTTTCGCGCGGGTGAAGATTTTTGCACTGAGAAAGATTTGATCTCTCCCTTCCGTGACGCCGGTGACGACGTGTTAACCAATCTGAAGAAGTCTGTGACGGGGTGGGCGAGGCGAGAGATGATACCTAGCCTCCCACGTGTTTTCATTTTCAAGAATGAAAGGGTTTGATACCAGAAGCATTCCGTCTGCATCTCCTGGAATTGTTGATGGTATGCGTGCAATCTCAACCCCTTTGGGCCCTCGTCCCAGGCCCTACAAGTCTCGGTCAAAGCTTGGAAACTTGAAAATTCATCACAAATTTTGTTTACACTTTCGAATTCTTTGGTGGTCACAGCCGGCTATCGTCCTGTCTCTCTTGTCAGTTACTCTGTGAGCCTGTCACGTCTGTGGCATTGTAAGCTATTGGCCACCGCCTCCATCACCGAATGAGTCGCTGAAGATAGAATGCAGGTAGGAAGGGAAATTGGAGATTGTCAAGGCACCTTTCCCTTTGCTGTATCTGCTTCTTGACTGATACTTTCGCCTGTCGGTGGGAGAAGTCACCTTGTGGAGAAAGGCATATTTTGTAAGGGGTATCACTAGCATTTATATTATTATGCATAACCATCAGACTAGGCCTAAATCAGGCTATAAGAGACTAACCTATGGACGTTGTGACCACGGCAGCTGGTGACACGTGCTCTTCTAATAAGGTAACCATGTACACAGTACCTTATGTACGTTAGTGGTTGTAAGAGGCTACTTGGTTAATGTTCGACAGACTCGGGGTCGGATTGAATGGGCTAATGGATTGTTACGGAAAGAACGATCGCTTACGAGCCGACGACAGGAATGCTTGTAGCTTCTACGTCACAGCATTGTCGGCGCTTGTCAGACGGCGGTGTAGTGCAATTTTGGGGCTACAAATCACTTGCTTGATTGCGCTTCACCACTTTACGACAAACGCTTTTTGGCGAGATGAAAGCTCCGGTACTCGTACCTGTGAGGTCAGCTTGGGGATACAGCCGTAGCAGTCGATCTGCACTTCATTGACGAGCCGCCACTTGCGTTGTACTTGGCGGATATCCTACTGTCTCGCCTTATTTGGTGTACTTGTACTTCTTTTTTTGACCCGCGAAGTACCTCTTCGCTGATGCTTTCGTGAAGCAATTCCGTCCATCTTGTTATCTGCGGCACGTTCAAGGAGCTGTATTCGTCCACTTCTGCGTGGTGATATGCTTGCAGCAGCGTCTCCCTGGGCTGGCGGTAGGGTGTTGTCGTGTAACGCTTGAGCCGGCTTGGCCTGTCGCTGGAGTGGCGCATTCCTCTTCACTGCCGATTTTGATATCCTGGAAGAGTGCATTGGGTCAAGTGGTCCGCCGGGCAGGGATCGCGGCTTATCGTCTTTCCGATCAGACGTGTTCCTGTCTGACCGTGGCGCCGGGTTCCTTTTCGTTCGAGGCCGAGGTTTGTGCGATTTGGATGGGTTGGAGGTCGAGCTCGGCGTCGAGCCAGAAGGCTCAGTATGGCCATACGATTCCTGTTGAGTTGACCCGTCACCATTTCCTTGAAAAGGAAAAGAGCCTCCGATGTTCAAGGCGAGCCCATTTGTACCAGGTTGATCCAGAGTTCGGGTTACGGGAGCGGGGTTTGATACTTCTCTCGGTGGAGTCAACTCAAGACCAAACTCTGCAATCGCTTGATCCCATGGTTTTTCATGCTTCCATGACATTCCTGGCATGACGCCCCATGCTTCGTTCCAAATCTTTCGCCGATGCCAGGTGTTCTTGACAACCTCGTAGGCTCGTGTGTTGATATCTTCGGGAAAGTCATCGTCTCCGCTCGTTGCCTTCTGATGCATTCGTTCCCGTTCCTTCGATATTTGATAGATGAATTGATAATAGGGCCGTGACGCCTCACGCTCACGCTCTAGGACAGCTCGACGTTCTGCAATCCGTCGCCGTGCATCATCACTCTTTAAGCGTCTCGACTTTGGTCTCGGAGAAAGAAAGTGAGGTGGCACTTCAGGGTCTGTTTCCCAATCCGACTCGATCTCGAGCGGTTCTTCATGTTTCCATCGCCCGAGGGCTGTGGATGTCCATTTGTCGCTCCAGATGCCCTGCTCGACCCATCGCTTCTTAACAATATTGTATGCAACCTCTGAGAAGCTTTCGCCCACCCGTAGACACCACGTTTGATTCCTGTCCGCCTCGATGATGCGCTCCTCCTCTTCCGCCCTCTGTTGCCGGAACTGGTGGTTAGGTCTGGAGGCAGATCGCTCGTCCAGTAGCTGGTCTCGCCTGTCTCGCCGACTTTGCTGCTCCTTAGTCAGGATATTTGGACTCGGTGATCGAGTCGTCGCCCCGGATAGGTCTGAGGCGTAAGGTGGTGGTGGGTGGTCGAATCGTGACCGTGACATGCTGCCACTGAGTTGCGGGAAATCTTCCTCTATTGCGGCTAGAGCTGTATGAAGCCGCATTAATCCGTCCCCGCGGATAGAATCACCGAGGAAAGCCATGTGCGTAGTAGACAGTGAGGTAGATACAAAAATATTTTGGAAGAAAGAGCAAGGGACACGCGAGAAGAAGGCGGGATAACAAGTGGTAGAAACACAGAGCGCACGTGATGGGTACATTCTTGGACTAGCTTTGGCGCGCGGCAAGATATGAGACGAACTGCCAGCCTCACATGTCTGGTCAAGTCTGAACATGTATTGGTCCAGCGTCGTCCTGGGCATCAGGTCAAACCATGTCCCGTTGTTCTGCTAATAGCGGGGGAGGAGAGTGCCTGTTGTCGCTCTTCCTTCACCCTCCCAGCGCAACCTCTACCTCCCTTCTTCCCATGTAGGTTTCGCTGATAGTATGGCCACGTCGAATACAGACTCTCTCGTTTTGTTCGCTCTTTCCGCCAAAAACCACCGGGCTGAACGTGTACTTTCTCATCCCGAGAACAGACACCTTATCTCGACCAGAGCTGATGGTCAGCTCACCTTCGATATTGGTTTCCCATTGCGTGGGCAGTCGCCCACAACCCTTGCAACTCTAGGGAGAGGTACCAATGCCGACATCTTCGTGGAAGGTTCCAACATCTCCAGGGTGCAGTGTTCTTTCGAAGTTGACCTCGATACCGGCATCGTTATGTTCTATGACCGGTCGCATGGTTCTACGAGCCAGGTCTTTGGGAAGGACGCCACACCATTCGAGTTCGGCCGTCCCCGAAAAGTCGTCGTTCAGGAGAGCCTCAACACCATTATTGGAATGGGCGGTGAGCGATGCGACCTCTTTCTTTTCGAGTTAGACTGGCGCCACGAACCTAGCGGAACAACGCATGCCATCAAGCGGTATGGAGCTTTCCCTGGCACACGAAAGCAGCATCCCCGTATCACTCGAACTGTGGACGAAGCGCCAACCGAGCTGCCTTCGCATCGCGAGACTCGACTCCACACTCCAGGGTCTCTTGTGCTCAAAATACGATATATAAAGCTAGGAAAGATAGGGAGTGGAAGTTTTGGAGAAGTACATAAAGCCATCGATGTTGACTCTGGAAAAGTGATGGCTGTGAAGATACTACGGCGACCTCAAGATTTATCACGAAGACATGTATGGAAGGAAACAGTGGCGCTCTCTCTGAAACGCGAGATCGAGATTCTTTCTGGCATCAGCCACGTAAGTCAAAACCTATTCAGCCACTTCTGTACATACTGATGCTTACTTAGCCAAACGTTGTCAACTATATAGCATCACAAGGTTGGTTCGATAGTGACGTGGAGATCTTCATGGGCCTCAAAGAAGGAACCTTGGAGTCATTGATTGGAAACGGTGCTGACGCAACTACTGTTGCGGACAATGCCTTCCCGCATATGCTGAGGGCGCTTGACTGCATAGCATTCAAGGACATCATCCACCGCGACGTGAAGCCGGAGAACATTCTTTACGTGTTGAACGCAAGCGGAGAGTACCAGTTCCAGTTGGGAGATTTTGGCTGCTGCAATCGTGCTGTCGAGGCTGCCACAATTTCCGGTACCCCTATGTTCATGGCCCCGGAGGTGCACAAAGGTGAGCGTCAGAGTTGTAAAGCAGACATTTGGTCGCTCTTTGTGACCATGCTGTGGACGCTGGATGTGAATGGATTTCGGCACACCCACTTCAAATCAATGGAGCAAGTGTGGACTGCAGTCTCGTGTGCACTCTCAAGCACGGCACTGTCAAGACTTTCAGAGATGGCAGTCGTAAACCCGCTTCAGCGTGCATCCGCGGCGCAGATGCTTGTCAAGTTGTTCCATGGCAAAGGACTCAGCACCCCACTCAAACAGGTCCCAGCTCTTCATTCCAATTCTGTTGTTGCCGCCGATGATGACAGCAAAGCTATGGTTAGAAACCCTCCTGATTTGGCAGCTCGAGACGCCATACATCACAAGCAGGTTCGCGAAAGGCTAGACCCTGCTGGTCTTCAAAGGAAAGCACCGATGGATGTGGCCCACGTTCGCAAACGCCGTACACCCGTCCAGATGAAGCTGGCTAAAGTTGGACATACCAAATGCTGAGGATGGTGGCTACCCCAAAGAAATGGTTGGAAGGATGGATCGAGCGCCGCCGTGAGAGGGTGGCCACTATAGACCTCAGCCAGGTCGATATGCGTCATAAAGAGGCCAGGATGGCGATTGCGGCCGCCACCAGGAGCTGTAAGCAGACTCAAAAAGGTGGAAACGTCGGCGACCACATCAACAGTATTGAATTCCTGCCGATATTGCGGGTTGTGTATGTCTTCTGGACCCAAACCCTGCCGACGTTCTTGGGGATTGTGCCAGACGAGGCGCTGACAACGCTGCCAGCCCCTCACTTCCCGACATTCATCCTTAGCACGAATCCGTCCCAGGCCCTGCCACTGGATAATGGGAGTGCCCCTAGAGAGTCTATACGATTATACTCGCTTATATCCAAAAACACACGACAGCGGATACAAGATAGAAGATGCAAGATACAAGATGGATCAAAGGGCTTCGACTGACAGCTGCTACCTATCGGGGCTCTCGGATGGTGGAGGCTGCTCCTTAGCACTATAACTCCTCCCCATTAACCTAAAAGAGCAAACGAATGGGGGAAACACGGCGAAAGCCTCGCCTTTTCCAGGACTTTCGTCAGCTCGTTTAAGCTGCGGTGGTTATGAAACCTCCCCAACGAGAGCTGATAGCGGCGATCATGTCTTGCACTAGCATTTTGGTGAAGAGAATTGTTGTGAGGCTAATAGTAGGTGTTAATGTGTGGTAAGAGACGTACATGGCAGTACGTAAGTGTAATGAGAGCGTGTCTAAGTACGTACGTAGCGTGTTAGGTAATAATACACGGTAGATGTGGAGTACCAGAGTACTAATGCATTAACAGTGTATCAGACGGCTAGGTCCGGCGCGACAATTCTCCGTTGCGAATCTCAAGTTCAGCCACATATCTCGCACAGGTCTATATCTCTCTCTTCCCTTCTCGTCTCCCCTCTCTCCGTAAACACAAAGCTAAGGAACGAACCCCTTGTCAAATCAACCTGATACAAGCCATGGGATCATGTTCACCGGTCCTCGTCAGTATCTTTCCATCCACCTCCCAAGCCCGACAACGGTCAGCTTCACCGTGTCGACGAGAGAGCCGGTCCAGCAGCCCGCATCATTGATAAATCGGCCCTCGTCTTCGCACCTCTTACATCTCCGACGTGTCCCTGTCTTTTCTCTTCTGAAGCACGCGCTACGGATCCTGCTCGTCCTGCTCGTCCTGCTGGTCAACCTCACGAAAGCCCGGATCGAGGCACCACGGCCATCCTCAGGCCTCGACGCGTATGCAGACTTGGGACTCAAGCTCAGTCTGGTCGGCGGGACGATCGGGGCCATCGCCGACCGCGCAGAGTGGTGGGTCCTGGCGCCGGTGAGCTTGATCGTCGTGTACGCGTGCTTGAGGCGCGACTATGTCGGTATGTGCGCTGGTCTCTCACCCTTTTCCCCTCTACCTGTACTCTGTGCTCGGAGCGACGAGTCCTTGTGTCTAGGTCCGTACCTACGAAGCTCTTCCTTCTCGCTAACCCCCCCGTGCAGAAGAATCCCTCTTGGTCCTCCAAGGTCTCGGGATCCAGACATCCACTTCGTCGCGCTACTTTTTCACCGGCCCAACCACGACATTCATCCCGACGACGCAGATCCAGGACATCGTCATCCATGAAGCCTTCAAGGGGCTCGAAGTCCGTTTTTACTTGGCCGTCATAGTCGAGGGGGCTACGGAGGTGGTGGTCGTCTTCCCTGTAAGCAGTTCAACCTCTTCTATTGATTGGTACCGTGTCAATGGAATAAGGACAGAAGCTGATCGTGTTTTCCATCCTGCGTTCAATCTGTAGACTCTCCTTCCGCGCCGCGAGATTCTCGAGGAAGTCTGGCGAGGGGGTCGGAAATGTTTGTATTCCGGTATCCGCTGAGCAACAGGAGCGAGGCCAGCTTCTAATCTAATCTATTCAACTGCGACATTCGTCTCTTCAAACTCCTCCTTGGCTTTATCTCTCGCTTCCCGACTCTTTGCCCACTTGGCATTCAACACCTCCAAGGTATCCATCCTTGGCTTCTTCATCACGGGCACATATCGACCACTGATTCTGGCTCTGCTGCTCCCGTCAAAGACCTTCTGACTTCGCGCTCCCGCCTTTCGGGGTCCATCCCGTGTTGCGCCCCTCTGGAAGGGGGTGCCGTCACCCTGAGAGAGCGCCAGATCGAGGAGACTGCCAGAGAGGAGTTCTTGCGTCTTTGCTTCTCGCCACTGGGTCCAGAGTTCGTCGACGACCGAGCCAGTGCCGAATTTCCCGTCATTCTTGGTAGAGTTTGTCGTGAGCGCGGGCACCGTGGCTGCGTCCCCAGCATACAGCCAGTTCAATGAGTCTTCCATCACTCCGCCCTCCCCGCTGTCACTGTCGGGAAAGATACAGTCCCACAGCACCAATGGCGCGTCGTCGGCCATCTCATACGTGGGTCGACGGGGGTTCTTCTCGACATCAAGCAACTCATCGATAATGCTCGGCTCCTCGAGGCCCTGGCCGACCAGGAACAATAATGCCACCATGCACCGCACCTGATGCCACAGGAACGCGGTGCCGTGGACGCAGAAAGTATACACCTTTGGGCCTCCAGAAACGGGGGGAACCGTTCCATCATTCGCGAGCGCAGACGAAGCCGACCCGGTCTGATTCAGAGCCTCGTGTTCCAGAAACATCCTCCCATTCTGGGGAAACTCGACCACGTCGGCAAACGTGATCCTCCTCACGCAGTTGGGCATCTGTTTGCTCGCGTCGATCTTGCAGAGGTTTCTGAAGTCGTGCACCCCGACAAGCTTGCTCGCGGCTTGCCTCATCTTGTCCACGTCGAGCCAGCCCTCCCTGACGACGCCCGCGGGATCCTTTCCGTCCGAGCGTCGAAGACCGAGAGGGCCGGGCGTGGGGCAGAACGCCGGGTTCGTGAAGAAGTATTTGTACCGGCGCTCGCGGCAGGAGAAGCGCGCGTCGAACGTGGGTGGCGGGGAGGGGCACCAGGCCAGAACGCGGATGTCGGGCGGGAGGATCGAATTGAGGAGGGATATGTACGGTAGCTCGTCTTTGACGGGGTCGAAGGGCTTTGCGTGTTGATCCGCTGCGAGATCCGCCACGTCTATGGACGGCATAATATCGCCTTGGCCACTTTCATGTTCCACCACACCCGCGTGCTGCGCCCCGTCCCCTTCTCCCTGCACAGATTCCTCCCGAGCGGGTTCTCGACTGGTCTCAAGAGCCCGGTTACTCCTGACACGAACCCCAATGACCTGGCCGAACGCGGACACGCCCCTGTCCGTCCTCCCGCATTTACTGTACTGGCAGCCTTCCCAGCTGAGGTCCAGCCGGACCCTGCCCTGCACGCTGGGATCCGGGCCTGACCTCGGCGCTCCTGACTCTCGCGCACGACTCCCCTTGACGTATGTCTCCCGCCTCTTGTCCTCGCCCCACACCACGTCGTAGCTCTCGTCGCCCCCCTCGGCCAAGCTGGGCGAGATCAGCCGCGCCTTGCGCAGCGCCTTCCACAGCACCTCCTCGACCGTCGGCTGCGCCGTCACATTGCCATTCGCGTGCTCGTACCCGCCGTACCGCCCGCCCAAGTACGCGAACTTCAGTGCGATGTGCCGCGTCGAGTATGCCGCCGGGTTGAACGGGCGTGCACGCCTCGGGGAGTGCGAGCGCGAGCGCGAGCGCGCATGCGACCGGGATCGTGGCCGTGACGGATCAGCAATGGAAAAGGGGATTTGCGCGCCTGTACAAGGGCGGTCCGGGAGGATAGATGTGATCGGAGGGTGGGAGGGTCGTGGAGACTTCGAGTCATTCTCGCGTGTCGTCAACGAGGCCAGCAGCGCCGTCTGTTCGCGCAGTTGCTGTTCCAGCGCCGTGATGCGCCCGACCAGCTCGCTGGTGCTGTAGTTCGCATAGTCTTTATCCATACCTGTCCGCACAGCAGTAGTAGCGAGAGTGGCAGTGTACCGCAACGGAAGGAACGTACAGTGTTCGTAGTGGCAGCAGAGAAGCCGGCGTGGCACGAGCCCGCTCGCGAGAGATACTGGCACCGCAGCAGGAAGAGCAGGCATTAAAAACACACTGGCCCAAGCGCCCCCGAGGACATTGTACCACACAGTGCTGTCGTACCGACACTACCTACTCGCTAGGAAAGAATGTCAATTGTAATTCACAAGTGTGTAGGTTTGGGTGTTGCGTCACGGACGGACTTTTTCTCTAGAACTGCCAGAAAAAATATGGATGAACTTCGGGACAATTTAGTCCGAGGCGAGGCTACATCGCAGCCTTGCGAGATCGAGGGTAGCGATAGATACAACACACGGGTTCTATTGTTTCGCGGTTTCCGTTACAGAAGAGGACAAAGCATCGCCCTTGTCGGCCTCACGTTATCATCGTTGACAGTCTCCAATGCTTGCGGCACTGACAGAATATCCAGCGAACCAGCAGTTTCTCCATGCCTCACTGGCCTCCACCGGGTGGGCTTGGGGTTGCACCGTCCAGTTGACTCCAGCCCGTGGCCAGCAGTAGTCCCCTAGTCCACTGGGTCGTTGTTTTCCTGTCGCGCTTCGTGAAACTCTTGTTCGTCGTCGTCATCATCAGGACTATCCTTGTTTTCTTGTTCGATGTTGTCAACTTGTTCCTGCGAGTCCTGGATCTCGATCTCGTCCTCTGCATCGTGCATTTCCTCGTCTTCGTCTTCTGTGCCGTCATTGTCTTCAGCTGCCTCTTCGACTGCGTCCTCTGGCCCTTCTTCACCTCCGTCGTCCACATGGTCCTTGGATATCTCGTACTCTTCCAACATGTGCTTCTTTTCTTCGTCCAACTCATCAAGCTCGCTAAGCTCGCTGCCAGAATCCTCTGCGTCGGCTTCCCCATCCGCACTGTCCTGGATAGAGCCCCGTCTAGAGCTTGCTCTGCTGCCATCCATGTCTTCGTCCTTCGTTTCAGCTAGCCGTTTGTCGACCGGAGCTTCTAGTCCCAGCTCCGCCTTCGACGGCAACTCCACAATAGGTGTCTTGGAAAGTATGGGCGTCTTAATGGGTGGTGGCTTCAGTATGGCCGCCTCCGCTTTGCGTTGTATCTCACGTCGGGTCACTGTCTTCGTGCGTCCAGGTCTGCCTCGTTCACGCTGAACTTCGGGCACCGGTTGACCGGTTGCCACCGGAAAGGGGGTTGGCGAATTTTGAAGTCCAAGACCTGCAGGTGTAGAGATGGACACAGCCAGTGGTCCCTCGGCAGCACCGTCGCCTTGGGCCCGGAGCATGTTCGTGAGACGAGCACGTTCAGCATTGTCGTCGCCGCCAGCAGCGATATCGGTAGTCATGTTGATGAAAGTGCCTTGTGGAAGCGCCGCAGGCTGTGGCTTAGGCTGTTCCTCTGGAGGTAATTGCTTGAGGAATTCTTCGTAGAGGCAGGCATACGAATCCCCTATGAGGTCGTCAATCACCGGGCCTTTCATCAGACTGTTGTTGAGGCGTTTCAAGTCAATCGCGTCTCGCATAATGTCCAAATACACAGAGGTTGTGTCAGGATCATGAGCCCATTTCTCCATCATCTCCGACTTCTTGGTGAATTCTTCATGGTTCATGCCATCGAATAATGCCCGTTCTCGGCCTTCAGGGATCTTGCCAAGTCGTCTCAACAGCCGCACGTAGATTGTGGCCACTTCCTCCCAAATCTTGGTGTGATCGAGAAAGTCCGTAGTCTTCCTGCGAATACGGCGAACGAGCGCGTCCAGGTTGGCGCGGTCGTTGAGCTGCTCCAGAATGTGCACAAAGAAAGAAATGTATCGTCCAGTATAGACATAATGACGCCCTGGTCGCTCATATTCAGGCTTCCAGACCTGCATCGTCATGGTCTTTGTGAATATCTGTTGGGTGAACTGATGCTTCGCACCAAGTGCCCCAGTGAAATTTGGTTCTTCATCATATATTACGTGGGCCGCGCGGTCTGTGATTCGATGATGCCAATTGGACTTGTCCGCGTGTCCAAGTTTCTTCAAGATTTCCAGCATGTAGGGCACCCAGTCGACTCCTTGTTCATCTTCGGGCAAAGGCACACCTTGCGAATAGCGCGATGACTGTAGGTACTGGTAGGCTTGGGCGTGCGAGATCTCTCGGCTGCACACCATCTTGTGGACGATCGACACCAGTTTGAAGTGGGGTTCGAGGATCGGCTCATGGTTCTTCTCCTTCTTAGGAAGCGCCTCAATGGCCTCGATGATGGCCTCAAGCACAGCGTCCGAGGAGACACGACCTCGGTTTTCACGGCTTCGAAACATTTTCCACAGACACTTCGCGCGTGTGTAGTGGGATGTCCATGGTTTGGGCCGATCTGTGAGCTTCATTTCGAGGAGATACGCTGCGAAATGCCACAAAGCATACTCTCCCACTGGCTGGTGATATGGTTGCTTGGACATTTTCATGTCGACAACGCTGCTCATGTGTCGTATGTGTTTGTCGGTTCTAAAAGCTTCCATACTCAGCGGAGGGCGAGAAGATGCATATAAGCGTGTGGCGAATTCCGCGAGCATGTCCTCAACCTTCTCTACGGTCTCGGGTCGGTCGTCAGCAGATCGCAAGGCTACTGCAGTCGCCATGATATAGCTGTGAATCGCTTGTCGCTCGAGCAGAGCAATATCTGCCCTTGATTCGTTGAGTTTGGTAGAGTTCCAGATCAGGTCGTCCTCGATCTTGGCCTCATAGACCTGGGCCAAACGGTACCAGGTTTCCCATTTCTCAATGTTGTGGTCCAAGTCCTGACGGAAGAAGCTCGCAGCAACGTCCAAATCGTCGGTCGGTGTTGGATTGACTCGT